AGCAATCCTCCTGCTTTAGCCTCCTAAAATGCTAGGATTACAGGTGTGTGCCATGGCCAGCCCTACCTACACTGTTTCAATTGTCATTCTCAGCAACATCTATAGTTTCAACAATTGCCTTTACTCTACAAGTTGTCAATAAATAGTAGCTGCTATTATTATAGATCATCTCTGCCTAAATGTCCCATGGATACCTTAAACTCAGATCATTCAAAGCTGAACTAATCTTCTTGTTTCCCCTATTTCTGCTAATGACATCACTCTAGCCCTCCAGGTAGGAAACCGTGGTTTCATCTTTGAACACACTGTAATCCCATCAACTGCCAAACTTTCTGTACTTACCTCAGCCAATTTCTCTTAGGCTCACTGACATCACCCTAGTTCAGGCCTTCATTACCCTCTTGTTTAAACTACTGCAATAGTCTTCTAAATGATCTCCCTATTTTTGGACTCTCCAAATCCATCCTACACTGTTGCTAATTTAATCTTCCTAACATTTTGATGACACAGAAAAGTGTTCATGATGTATTATTAGGCTTCAAGAGCAGATTACAAAACAGTACATACTGTATAATCCTAATTTTGTAAAATAAAATGTGTAAATATAAAAAACATGCCCTCTCTTTCTGTCCACACACATATACACAAAAAGATAAAGGAGGTGGGAAAAAACCCTCTCAAAGAATATACTCCAAAATGGTAAGAATAGTTATCTCTGGATAGTAGAATTATGGGTAATTTATTTCCTGGTTTGAACTTTTTCCTGTTTTCTACATTTCCTACAATAAACATGTATTGTTTTATATAATAGGAAAAAAATTAATAACATATATCCTTCTGTGATTCCCTCACTGCTTATGTTAAAAAGTCCCAAATTCCTTGCCATCCACCAAAGACCTCCATGGCCTTACTCAACTTGCTTTAAGGACCACATCTTTCTAACTTATACCTCATGATTTAGGTAAACTAACCAGTCACACTTCATGTGAATCCATGCTCCCCTACTCTCCTCTTCTTATTCTATTCCCTATTTTCTCCCGAACCTGCTTAGCTTCCAAGATCAGACAAGATTGGGCGCGTTCAGGGTGGTATGGCTGTAGACCTATTCCCTATTTTCTATTCCCATTGCCACCTATTTAAATCCATCCAATTAGGCCGGGCGCGGTGGCTCACGCCTATAATCCTAGCTCTCTGGGAGGCCGAGGCGGGCGGATTGTTTGAGCTCAGGAGTTCGAGACCAGCCTGAGCAAGAGCGAGACCCCGTCTCTACTAAAAATAGAAAGAAATTAATCGGACAACTAAAAATACATAGAAAAAATTAGCTGGGCATGGTGGCGCATGCCTGTAGTCCCAGCTACTCGGGAGGCTGAGGCAGGAGGATCGCTTGAGCCCAGGAGTTTGAGGTTGCTGTGAGCTAGGCTGATGCCACGGCACTCTAGCCCGGGCAACACAGTGAGACTCTGTCTCAAAAAAAAATAAAATAAAAAAAAATAAATCCATCCAATCCTTCAGGGCTCAGCTCAAATATCTCTAATATAATCATGGTATAAGTGGAAAAAAATATGTCTGATTCTCAAGTCCCTCAATTAAAAGCCCTGGATCTTCTAGTTACTGACTTTGGGCAGGTTAACTAAAGCCTCTGAAATTCAAATGTCCTCATCTATAATACACCTACTTCAAATGGCAGTAATTAAATAACAGAAGATAAAACAAGTGCCTACCACGTGTTATTGGCTTCTTGTTTGTAAGGGACATGTGTGACTCAAATTTGCAGCAACGATAAATCCCATATTTTTTACCCAATATTCTCTCTGAGAATAAAAACAAAGGCCAGATAGAGAGTGTTAATCAAGGAACAGCATCAGAACTCAATTATCACACCTCCTCAGTCTCCTTTGAGGTGTTCTCTTTCTCCTCCACCACGCTTGTTCCACTTCTTTCACTTTCTGTACTAACTACAAAAAGTGATGACTTTCATCCACAATCATGGCTTTTTCTACCATCCATAAACTCAATTCTCTAATCCAGATTTCTTGTATTGTATCCAGATTTCCTGTATTTCTTGACATACAGATTTCTTTCTGTATGTCAAGATTTATAAATCGGCCAGGCGCGGTGGCTCACGCCTGTAATCCTAGCACTCTGGGAGGCCGAGGCGGGCGGATTGTTTGAGCTCAGGAGTTTGAGACCAGCCTGAGCAAGAGCGAGATCCCGTCTCTACTAAAAATAGAAAGAAAATAGCTGGACAACTAAAAATATATAGTAAATATTAGCCGAGCATGGTGGCGCATGCCTGTAGTCCCAGCTACTCGGGAGGCTGAGGCAGAAGGATCACTTGAGCCCAGGAGTTTGAGGTTGCTGTGAGCTAGGCTGATGCCATGGCACTCACTCTAGCGCGGGGAAAAGAGTGAGACTCTGTCTCAAAAAAAAAAAAAAAAAAAAGATTTATAAATCAAACTGCCTGCTAAATGTCTAACTGGATGTCCCACAAGCAATCCAAACTCAAAATCCTAAAATAAATTATCTTTCCTGCTAAACTTGTCCATCTTCCTACATTCCCTACGGCACCATTACCTACCAAAGAAAGAAACCCAAGCCATCATATTCCTTTTTTTATCCCTTTTTCTCCATATTCGAGCCTTGCAATCTATCTCAAACTTTAAGTCTACCCACATCCCAAACATGCCAAGCAGTCTCATCCCTTAGTGCTTTGTAACACATTAGTCCCTTTACCTAGAAAATCTTCTACTTCTTCTTCCCTTGAGTAACTTCTCTTATTCTTTAGAATTGAACTGAAGAATTTTCTCCTCTAGAAAACAAAAGCTAACTAGCATTTACTAAACACATGTGCAAAATCCTTTGCATCCACTGTCCTGCCTAATACTCTAAACGCAGTGAAGAGATAGGTACTATTATATTTTTACAGATGGAGAAGGCTGAGAAGTAACTCATAGGAGGTCCTATATAAAGAGTAAATAGTAGGAATGGAATTCAAACCTAGGTTTGCCTGACCTCGGTGTATAAGAATGCTCTTAGCCATCCTTCCATAACACAGCTTCCCTTTTCCATCAGCTCCCCAAATCCTATAACTCTTGATTAGTTAGGAATCTTTCCTCTAGCTGTCATAAAGAAGGGACTGTGCAACAAACACATTATAAATCTTTATCGTTTGGTTTGTCTTTTCTCAAATGAGTCTATGAGCAACCTGAAGACAAAGTCTATTCCATCTACAGTAGTTCCCCCTTATCCTTGGTTTTGCTTGCCGAGTTTCAGTTACCTGTGGTCCGAAAATATTAAATGGAAAATTTCAAAATAAAGAATGCATAAGTTTTAAATCGCACACCATTCTGAGTATCGTGATGAAATCTCACTCCATCCTGCTCCATTCTGCCAAGGACATGAATCATCCTTTTGTCCGTCGTATCCATGCTGTATATACTACCAACCACCATTAGTCACTGACATTATCTGCTCCTGACTTCCAACCTTTGACATCTCATCATTTTATCATCTCACATCATCACAAGAAAGGTGAGTACAGTACAGTAAGATATTTTCAGAGAGACAGAAACCACACTGACACAACTTTTATTACAGTATATTGTTATAATTGACCTGTTTTACTATTGGTTGTTATTGTTAATCTCTTAACTGTGCCTAATTTATAGGTTAAACTTTATCATAGGTATGTATGTATGTATAGGAAAAGACACAGTATATTTAGGGTTCAGTTCTATCCAGTGGTTTCAGGCACCCACTGGGCGTCTTGGAATGTATCACCCACGGATAAGGGGAGAACCTGTTTGTACTTGTTTCCCTGTACCCAACAGAATGCCTAGCACATAGTAGACCATCAAAAAGTATTAGGTCCCTTCTTCCCGCCTTTTCACCCACGTCGGAAATTATCTCTCCTATAGCACTTTATACCTCTCTTAGGACACCTCTCTTATTAGCATTTTGCATATCTGTTTTACCCCACCAGACTATGCTCTTTGATGGCAGAGGACAGTCTTAAAAATCTTTATGCAGATACCTTTGCCTGCATTTGTTGTTCAACAAATAACTGATAAATGAACCTATAATTAAAATCGCTGTTGTTTAACTGCTTTCAATTCTACTGTGCAGATTTCTTCCCATTCCGATTAGACAGTAGCCCCACTATTAGCAAATGACGGTTCCCAAACCACAAAGGGCTTCCTGATTAATTTATCAAACGTGTCCCAATGATAGCCACTGGGGGAAATACAAACTCGGATTAGAAAAGGGTTCCTGGGCTCTAAAGAAATTCAACCTAATAGTGAATTCCCAAGTCAAAACAGTATACGACTAGACTGTTTGAGTATGTGAGTCACGTGGCTCTGCAGCGTGACGGCGACTGTCAACGTGGGTTCAGGGTCAGGTAACAGACTACACAACCAGCCCATTGACTAATCCTCTGGGATTCATTTCAAGCTGCCTTGCGCAGCCATATCCTGTCTGGGAGGTGTTGAGGAGAGATGGGGAAAGCGACCACCATCTCCCCTCAGACCACCATCTCCCATCCTCCCATACCCTGAATCTCAGGGCTTTCCCTTTCTCCAGGCTCACTCGATACCCCAGGGAGGCGTGGCTCTCACCTACCCAACCACCTACTCTCTCCCTGGGGGCTGGGCTAGCTTCTCCAGGGACCCTCTCCTCTCTAGGCAGCCACGCAAATGTGGGACTGGCGTAAAGGTCTGCATAAGCCACGGGCTCCCACTTGTCGCATCGACTCCGGACCCAGAGCCGGGTGCCCTCCTTCGCGCTCTCGGCTTCTCACCTGCTCTGCCGACACCGCCCCTTTCCCCGCACCGCTCCCGCTGCTCTTGCCGGCGCGACCGCTGTTCTCCGCCATCTTTGCCGCCTGCTGGGTTTCCGGCCTGCGCAGCTCAGCCCCGCCTTGCGTCACGTCCTGTCTGCGGGTTACCGCCCACTCACCCAGGCGCCCTTGGCTGCCGGCCGCTCTTCGGATCGGATGCTGCGAATGGTGTTGGCTGTATCTTCATGTAGGACCGACTCCCTATTCCTCCGTCGGCCGCGGTGAATTTCACCTGCGGTGCTTTATCTTGTGCAACAGAAATGCCGCCCCTGGGAGAGGCTGGGAAGAACGGGCTAACGGGAGGGTGGGAGCGCGGGTTGGGATCTGGGTTCCTGTGCTTCCTGCCCACCTTGGTTAGGGTGGTGGGAGACGAGGGAGGGTGAACTTCCCCTCAGAGATTCTGGCGTAAGGGGGGAAATACGCTTCAAGTGCATAGGTAAGAAGAGAGGCTTGGGAAAAACAAGGAAGTTTCCGGGAGATGATTTTTGAACTGCGGAAACGTTTGGCAGAGGAAAATGGCTTCAGTTTAATGTGAGATCGCTGGAAGTTGAGGTATTCAGGCGCCAAGGAGACCCCCTTCCTCCATCTTCCCACTTTACGATCTCTTCCTGTAGCCCATAATTATAACAAAGAGTGTTTTTGAACACTTGGGGGTTTTTACTGGCAGGGCCCAGATTCAGCCTCACAGTATGTAGGGAGAAGACAGAGAATCCTAGAAATTTATTGCTTGAGGGAGGGGGTTAGTGTCCTGATTTCTCACCTTCCTCAGGCTGGGCTTCATCACCAGGCCTCCTCACCAACTCCTGTCCCTTCTGTGTCCCGGACTCCGGATACTTCGATTGTCAGTACATTGTGCTCAGCCCAGGTAACATGTTTCGTTGTGTCCTCAGTGCCTGGCACATAGTAGATGCTCAATAAATGTTTGTTAAATGGATAGCGGGAGGCACATGGATGTCAACCATCCGCAGAACATTTGATTAATGAGCCCCATTAGTCCTGGGTCAGTGTGCCCTGTAAGAGCAGAATCAAAAGGAAGTTCCACCTTCCTCCCTACCCATTTGAGCCCCTGATCATTAAACTTGGGTTTCCCCATGGTAGGAAATCTGATAATCCCACCTGTGCCATTCACAGGCCCAGAGCCATGGCTAGCTCTTCTTCCTCCTGGGAACTGCCCCTGGTGGCTGTGTGCCAGGTAACATCAACACCAGACAAGCAACAGAACTTTAAAACATGTGCTGAGCTGGTTCGAGAAGCTGCCAGACTGGGTGCTTGCCTGGCTTTCCTGCCTGAGGCATTTGACTTCATTGCACGGGACCCTGCGGAGACGCTGCGCCTGTCTGAGCCACTGGGTGGGAACCTTTTGGGAGAATATACCCAACTTGCCAGGTATCAGGGAAAGGGGGAGGGAGAGGTAGAATCTTTGTTGGGCAGTGCCCCTGGATTGCCAGATATGAGGGTAGAGCCTTGAAAAGAGTTGTCAGTGTCCCCTCCCCCCAGGGAATGTGGACTCTGGCTGTCCTTGGGTGGTTTCCATGAGCGTGGCCAAGACTGGGAGCAGACTCAGAAAATCTACAATTGTCATGTGCTTCTGAACAGCAAGGGTGAGAATTCATAACCCTTTAGCCTGCCTCTTCCCAGGCTCTTCTACCTAGATTCTCCAGAATTTTCTTTTTCGACTCTATTTCCTTGGCCCAAGGTTTTAGGGGAGTTTGTACTTCTGTTTCTGGCCTATAAACTGTCTCCTCCTTGGGAGGAGAGGAACTAAGCTGGGATTCTAGAGCACCAGCACTGAGTATTTCTTCTCCCTCTTACTCTAGGATCAGTAGTGGCCACCTATAGGAAGACGCATCTGTGTGATGTAGAGATTCCAGGGCAGGGGCCTATGCGTGAAAGCAACTCTACCATGCCTGGGCCCAGTCTTGAGCCACCTGTCGACACACCAGCAGGCAAGGTGGGAGTTGTGAGAGGATGAGGGTGGGAGAGAAATATGAGGGAAGGAAATAGGAATACTTTGAAGTGGTAGTAGAGAAAGCCCTAAGGAGTGGGATAACGGGGGTATGACTAGATGGTGTGACAAACAGGACAGGGAGGCTAAGTAGGCTGTTTTTCATTCCAGATTGGTCTAGCTGTCTGCTATGACATACGGTTCCCTGAACTCTCTCTGGCATTGGCTCAAGCTGGAGCAGAAATACTTACCTACCCTTCAGCTTTTGGATCTGTTACAGGCCCAGCCCACTGGGAGGTAAGAAGATACCTCTTCAAAACATAAGGGCCTCCTCTTCACCTCATTCTCCTCCCTTGGCCCTACCAGTTAAAAGATTTTCTTCTCCTTCCTACCTGCTGGGAAAATTCATTCCCCAGATAGTTGTGTCTCATATGGTACAGAATAGTTAACACAGTAAATCATTCCTAGGCAATTAGCAGAATGGTCACAGTGGGTAGACTGGCCTGAAATGTCCATCTCCTGTCACTTCCCCACTAGCTGCCACACACATCTCATCTCCAGGTGTTGTTGCGGGCCCGTGCCATTGAAACCCAGTGCTATGTAGTGGCAGCAGCACAGTGTGGACACCACCATGAGAAGAGATCAAGTTATGGCCACAGCATGGTGGTAGACCCCTGGGGAACAGTGGTGGCCCGCTGCTCTGAGGGGCCAGGTCTCTGCCTTGCCCGGATCGACCTCAGCTATCTGCGACAGTTGCGCCAACACCTGCCTGTATTCCAGCACCGCAGGCCTGACCTCTATGGCAATCTGGGCCACCCGCTGTCTTAAGACTTTGACTTCTGTGAGTCGAGACACCCATTGTGAGCTGGTGCTGCTGTGACTTGTAGGCAGGACCCAGGCACAGCTCCCCTCACTTGGAGAACCTTGACTCTTTTGATGGAACACAGGCTCAGCTTACTGGGAAAGAAGAAACTTTCACCTGAGCTCCAGATTTCAGTTTCAGAAAGGTGGAATTTTATATAGTCATTGTTTATTTCATGAAAAGTGAAGTTATGCTGAGGGCTGAGCAGCACTGGCATTGAAAAAAATATAATAATCATAAAGTCTGTGCCTGGGCATCTTTGGGAGCTGGAAAGGGAGGTGGTATTGTACCAGCTGGACTAAGTTCCACTTCTAGGCCTCCTGGCTCATTCAACATGCCTCCCTACCTAAATAAAAGTGCAACACTCAGTGCATGTTCCAGCCCCACTCTCCCAAGCATGGGAGTGGGAATAGGGGTAAGAAGAGGGAGAAGGAAAAAGGAGTTGATACTGAATTACTTCACCTAAGATGATGCCCTTTGCCCAAGCCAGAAGAAAGCAAAGGGGGAAAGGGCTGCAGGGTACATTATTTATTTTCACTTGAACATGGAAGGAAAGTGTCACACTCCCCCTTCCCCTTTATAGGGGGAGTGTATTTTAATCAGCAACCTCTTCTCCATCCACCCTGTGTGTGTGTGTATGCACACACACCACAGCTGGGAGGGGGGAATAGGCTGACCCAGTCCTTTTATCTACTACTCCCTTGAAGAGGGTTTGACAAATGGGAAAAAGGAAGGAGCCAAATCAGGCAGAGGTTTCAAGCCATGGAATGGAGGAAAGAAGGCAGAGAGGAGCAGCACCAGATGCCAGGAGAGAGTGGAAAGGGCCACAGCTTCTTCGTTTTTTAAAAATTCTATAATTTGGAAGAGGGTGTTGATTAATTTCCAAAATACACTTCAGAGTCCCACCTTCCACATAGCTCCCTTACTCACAGCCCTTTGGTTTTTTAGACAAAATTTAAGAGCCCTCATAAAGCCAGAAGTATTGATAACCCCTCAATGCACCCAAAAGCAGTGTTCACGTCACTCCCTTACAAAGACTGTTCTACAGACTTTGCTTCTCCCTACACATTTGTCTTACGGCTCAGTGGTAAGGTGGCTGTAGAGACACACATTAGGGGTAAGTGGAAAAGGGAAACAAAGGGGAAGCCCAGGCACATGGGTGCAGGGAGGGGTAGGGAACACCACTTCCACTTTCCTTTGTCTTTTCTTTAAAAAAAAAAAAAAGGCAGGGGTGTGATTGGTTGGAAGGGTAGAGAACAAACCCCAGAACAGTATGTAAGCTCCAGAGGTGGGTGGTGGGAACAGTCCCCAGAGAAGTGAGAAGGGAAAGAGGTCAGGGCAATGCTTGCAGCATCAAGTTCCTCAGGAGTTTCTGTCGGCCCAGCTCATAGTCCTCCTCATCCACATTCACCAGCAGTTTGATGGCTTCATGGCCCACAGCTTGCTTGAGGGAGTCTGTGATAAAGACACCTTTAAGTGCCTCTAGTAATGAGCCATTGATGTAGTCGCGCCAGAATGCGTCGAGGTAGGTGAGCTCAGAGAACTTGATGTCACAGATGATGGAGCCCAGGTCCCGGGACTTGAGGATGGTGTTGGCCTGGTTAAAGCGCTCAAACTGGCGCTCAAGTGGGTCCTGCTTGTTAGAGAAGACGTTGCCCTGCAGAGCAGTCTCATGCTGGCAGTATTCAGCCCGAACCCGCAGTCTGATGTCTGTGGCAAAGAGAAGTTACAGAAAGAAGAGGTTACAGTGAGGGATGGAGTTTACAACCCAAGTTTGAAAAGCTGAAAAGAACAGCAGAATGGGAAAGTAAGGAACATCACCTGACAACTTCTCTACCTCTTCCCTAGGACTAGTTCTTTCTGTGTATTTCTGAAATCCTTGCCTGAATGCAGGAGGTTCTCTTTAATGGGCCAAAACCATGTTAACACTGTTCCCAACTCACAAGCAGCACCTTGCTTATAGGAGATGTTTTCTTAATTAATAGGCACAGAAGTTCATTTTAATACTCCATCTTGATTTGGTTCATCCTACAATAAGGATATCATAATGGCATCCCTTTGCTCTAGTATTAACTAAAGAGAGTTGAAATGTACCCTGCCATAAACATAAAGAGGAGTTCACTTGCCAGAGACTAAACCATTCAGCCTCACTTTGCAATGGCCATCAAAGTGAGCCTTGCACAGAACAACAAACTGCCCAGTATCCCAGCAGTTCTTTATATTTTCCCTCAAGTCTGCTCCACACCTCTGGAACCCTTGAACTTCCTCACCACATGTCTGCTTTTCCTTGGGATCTGGGG